GGTGATATCCTGCTCTCCCGCTCCACAATGCTATGACTTAGCTATTACAGCAATCTTCAGCCACAGCCCTGTAGAAGCAAGCAGGCAGACGACTTACAGGAAAGCTAGAGAGTCTCTCCCAAAATGCTCATGGATAACACCGAGGCTTAACACAAGATTCATCTCACCTAATTTTATAGGCCTAAAAGTTCACCATTTTGCCTACAACAGTAAACTTTAGTTCTCTATGCAGTCAAGGGGGGAAAAAAATAAAAATCTCCAAAAGAGAATTTCTCACAGGTTTTAAAGATGTGAACTTCTAGGGATGAAGTGCCCTCTAGAGGTGCTCCATTTCTTCCACTGCTTGTAGGAGAAGACTACGATGATTAACTTGGAGCAGATGGCTAAGATTAATGTTAAATGCAGCATCAACAATTCAAAGGCATTTAGACTTGCAGAAGAATACACAGAGGTAAGAGATGATTAAAACTACATGTTTGTCGTGGCATTGCTCCAGGCACCTACATTTCCTCAATTTCTTCAAGAATCCACTCGTGCTCTAGAGGACAATCTCTTCCAAATAATTTACCAGTTCTACCCTTCTAATGTCAGTTCGATTACCTTTGTAGGAGGGTAACAATACAGAGCAGGGTGGGAATTTTCTGACAAAACAACCGCAAGAAACCTGAAGCTCAGATAGCTAGTGTTAAAGTTAAATACAAGAGACAAGCAATTCTATAACACCTATAAATTTTTTTCCACATAGTAAAAAGTGAGCGAGCTATAATGACAAACACACACAACCAATGAAACACAAGATTTGTGACAGTTTCAAGCAAAATACACAGCTGTCTAGAAGAGAAAATGCTGTCACAATATCCATTAGGGAAGGTGGGGGCAGAGAAAAGATAAGTATGCACACACAAAACCAACCTACTCTTCCCCAAAAAGTTCTCTGGTTTCTTATATCTGCACAAAGCAGATGGGTCCTTCATTTAGTGCCTCATTTAATACGAGTATCACAATCTCGTAAAGATTGGTAGCAAGTCAAGGACGCTCACAGTGAGAAAACTGTTGTTGTAACTGCATTTTTTCATTACTGTTCTTACCCTCCCACTGCTGGCTATTAACCAGATAATCTCCAATCCACATTTAGTTAGATACATGCATTTGTTTTATTAATAGGTCTTCTTTAGGAAGAGTAGCCTTTTTTTCATCCCAACGTTGATGTCTTCACTTCCCACAAAAGGAAAAAAACAATCAGAAACAGTTTTCTAATAGGTTCACAAGAGGATTAACAGTCTTCAAGGACCTAATATCAGACAAACACATTTCCTTACCTCTAGAAGTAAAGCTACGAAGAGATTGACCCAGATGACTGAGGAGATCAACCACCAGGCTACAAAATAGATCTTTGCCCACCTGCAGATCAGATTAAAAGATAATAAATACATAACACAGACAGTATACAACCATAGCCTGAAGGTGATTAAGAAAGCCAATAAACCATACTTCTCCTTAAAAGTTAATAATGCTGTCTTCTTGATCTAAAGGGTGGTCTGGAACAGAAGTCCTAAACCTTTAAGTTAGCCAAGAAGATTTTTCTCCCCCTGCTAAATATAGTTCTAAAGGGAAAGACAGCCAGCCTAAGAAAAGTCATACTGGATCAGAGCAAAAGATCCATCTAGCCTAGCACCCTCTCTCCAAGATTAGTCAAATATAGAAGCATAGGAAAACGTTTAGCAAAATGGCAAAATACCTATGAGGCTCCCTACAAGTATTCTCTTGACCTCCAACCATTTGCAGTTCAGAGATTTCTTGAGCTGGAGGTTCTCATTTCCATTCATTGCAGATCCCAGTGGATTTCTCTTTCATTACTTGCCCAGACTTCCCCAGACCACGTTAAGCATTTATCACACAGAATTGCCCATAGAAGGGCATTCCCATAACTTAGGTGCACACTTGGCGAAGAAACATTTCCCTCCATTCGATTCAGACTGCTAGCTCCAAAACGTGCGTGAAATCATGATTGCACAGAAACCAAATAGAAAAACCGCCACTCAGCATTAACCACCCAGGTATCACTGGAAAACAACTAAACTCAGAGGCTATCCAGTTCAAACATCCCCATAAAATAAAATACAAATGAAAGATACCTCCAAGGTTCTAAGTCTACAAAGAACTATTTAGCCACAGAGAAAATACAAAAGTAGCTCAAAACTGATTACAGTGATTCACTAATACCTCTTCTGTGAGATCTGCTCTACAGTAACACCCACCCATCCAACACATGCCGCAAACCTACTTAGGATCCACCCCAAGTAATTCTGTCTTCTCTGGAAGAAGATGAATACCCAGACAGTTTCCAATCCCTTCTAAACATGACCACAGATTTCGTGGCATCCGAGAGCTAGACCAAGTACCAAGTTATATGAGCTAAAGAACATCCATGAGGTATTAGCTTTGTTTCCTACCCACCCAAATTAATGAGACACAGGTAAGCAGTACTCCTCTTACCAGATACTAGGAACTGTGCTGCATGTATAACTCCTGATCATTTACTTTACAAGTTAGATGTATACGGTACTGTTTCCGTATTATTACTGTTACTTACGGACTCGAATATCTTGAAAACGCTTCCAGAAAGACTTGCCAGTTGTTCACGACCATCACATCCCAGAGGGTCACCACTGCCGCCTAAAGAAAACAGAAATTGAGTGGCTATATTACACACTTAAAAGCCTCAGAAAATAAGGGGAAGGGGCAAGTGGAGAGGAAGAGAGGGATGGATTTCTTCCATGATCAGACTCACAGCAAAGTCATCAAAGTTGTTTGGCCAATATTCCAGCTGCTCGTAGGTCCCACACTGCAGAGTGCCATTAACAGATGTTGTATTGACAATACTACAAGAGAATTATAGTCTGATAGTCAGAGCTTTCTATGTACCATACCGTAGAAGAAAAATTTTTAACTACCTTGTAGGAAGTACTTCATATGGGCAGAAAACACGGATAATAGTTCACATAGTTCAGATCAACAGTGGGGTAAAATATCAACCTTGAGATAAGCATTTCTGTAATTTCAATACAGCAAGAAGGAACTCAAAGCGTAACAAATAAGCCTGTGCTACTTAGTACTAAAGGAAGGGCTTCAACAGTAAGAAACAAATCACAAACTAATTGGAAGCTCAGATATACACATGGTTTACATATGACAAATTAAAAATATTTTACAACAGCAGAGAGTACAGAAAAGGAGACAAAGACAGAGGCATTTAGTAAATAATTTAGCAGCATAAAGTCAGAGCTACAGCAGTGTTTTGAAAAACTAATCTTTCCAAACACTAACGTTTAGAACATTACCTGATATTCCCCATAGGAACAACAGCACCTTTAAATAGTATTATGCCAGTTATAGCAAATGCATAGAAAACCACCTGGAAGGAACACATAAGTATCAGTTCTGAATATTTCCATGACTAAACAAGAAAACAATGTGATTATGTTAGGAATGAAATTTATGCTAGCACCACAGGCAAAGGAACATGGTTAAAAACAATTCCAGAGGCTAAAGGGAAAAATACTTCCTAAAGCCTGAACACTTTTTCACTGCTTGCTCTTACTTTTTAATATTTTATTTAACTTTCAGTTGTTAAAACACATTAAATCATTTTTCTTTATTGTCTATTTTACCGCTGTTTTTCAGAATGCTGATGTTTAACTATTAACACTACTTAACAAAAAAGCCTATTACCTATAGGTACAAAAAAATCTTCAGCTACCTAGGGAACTTTCTGTTAGTTTTAGATCAGTGAAAATAAGCTTTTACAAAACCTAACTAAAGGACAAAAGTAAGCTAATATTTTATATTACACACCCCTAACTTTTGGGGAAAAAAAAAAGTTAGATTAGTCTAAAAGTAAAGGCTTCCATGGCACATAAACAATTTTGGAACTTTGGTCTCCTTTACTTTTTAGGAATGCAAATCACTTTTTAAAGAGCTGGCTTACACCGCTTTCAGCGGTTGCCTACGTGATTTTGCAAGTTTTCTCTTAAAAGCAAAGATTGCTCTAGACCTACAACTTTCTAACTTCTCTGAGTAAAGAGTCATTTGTCCAGGATTGCTTGAAACAAGATGAGTTTTCTAAGGAAAGTGTAATTAGTCACATTTCTGTATTTAGCTACTAAATAGTCCCAAGAGGGGGCCCAGGAAGAGGGGAAAATAGACTGCTCCGTGCTGTAGAACCACAATACCCTAAACACTACTGGAGAAGTTGAAGCTGCCATTCCACACCTTACCAGAAGGTGGAGCATCTGGCTTGACAACAATAAAAGTCAACGTTCTTGTTGATAGAAGATATTAAACCTAAAATACATACTACCCGAAAAATCAGCTAAAAAATAAGTTGCATTAATTTATCAGCATATGCTCCATGCTCATATTAGGAAAGATGTTTTGCATCAGCCAGTAATGGAGTCATACTTCACTATGGTAGAAGCTCAGTGAAAGTTTCTCCTCAGCGTCAAGTAAAAGCATATTAAGTTAATGGAAGTGGCAAACGCTTCGCTTAGACTGCAAGCTCTCTGTCAGAGACTTGCCTCACAATTGGTGCAGGACTACTATTCACACTCCTGGCATTAAGGACTAATCAGCAGCAGACATTTAAAACACCTCACGAGCACTATGTCTTATATGCAGAAAGGCAAGGACTCCACACTGAAATGCCTAAGCATAATTTCTAAAAAGAGTCAAGCATATACTAGTCTCCTGCTATCCTAGCTATGTCTGTCAGGAAGGAAAAGAGCTTCCAGAAGAACACAGTAGCACACATACAGCCATGCTAGTAGCAGTACCACTTTGTGGTCCTGGTGCCAAGTAAAACCGAGTTCACCCAAAGAGCATTCTCTCCTGGGGCTCTGCCATAGATGCTCTGCGAGATTCAGCAGCAGCAATGTCAATAACCGCCTCCCGCACCTATCTGCCATGCCACCCTACCAGCATGTGACAGGGGGAACAAGCAAATATGCGCTCCTTTAGTCTGGTGTACTTACTCAACTAAGAACTGGCAAAATTAACAAAGTACATCAGTCAAAGCAAAGGCCAGTTACACTGAGTAACAACAAGGCAAAGTAACATTTTGTATACTGGTTTTGGATGGGCATTGAATTTATTTATTTTGGGGAAGCATCAAAAGTTTTTCATTATACTAAAGCTGGTCCTATCACATATTGTTTAAAAAAAAAAGTTTATACGGTATCAGTACTTAACTCATACTCTTAAGATGTACTTTCAGTGCAGGGACTAACTTCCTAGTCTGTGCACTCCTGAAGTACGTTTCAGTTTCAAAGGGAGCTCCCAATGGCGAGCGTAACTTATGCAGCAGGACAAAGCTGTTACTTTGTATCTTTGCCCAAACAATCATTTTTACTTGAAGCTGCAACATAAACCTCTCCAGGCTGCACCTTAAAGCCTCTCCCACACAAACAGTTATGAGCAGAGATTAGTTATGATGAAATCTGATACTGTGGGTAAACTGTACGCTAAAAAAGTTGTTCTGATATACTAGAACAACTTTTTAGGCAACACCTAATAGACAGGAAATCCTTGGTCTCTAAGCATTACCGCAATTTAAGCTACCTTAAAACAAAAATAAACCACTGAACCAACCAAAAAACAACCCATCCTCATATGCTATGTCAGGAAGATATAGTGGCAAAGCCAGAAACTCAAAAGTTAGGAAATGCAGAATTAGTAAGAGTAATAGACATCATGCATTGTGATCCAGCTTTTAATCTCATCTTTATGGAGTATATGCTCTACACGCCAGACACACCTAAAACAGGATCACAGAGGCTTTCAAAAATCCTCATGCTGCAACACGCCATCTGAAGATCTTCTCAGCAAAACAGCTTTAAAATTATTTTTAGTTATTTACTTTAATGTAAGCAAGCCAAGGTAAGGAAAATTAGGCTACTTTTAGAATCAGATGAACTCTTCCTTGAAACTAGAGCATCAGCCTGAGGCAGGCACTTCGAAGGAGACGTTTCAAACATTCTTTAAAGGTACACCTAAAGTAAAGTGATACGTTTGGCTTTGGTACCCATAGCGTTGCACCTATTATCGCTGCCCATAACAAAACAGTAGTTTGTTGCATCTTTCCCAAACATGCTTAAAGAACTGGCTGGCTATTGTGAATTGTTACTGTTTATAGAGATTTTCATCTAAAGTCTCTGGTTTACTTTGTTGAAGACACACCATTATTATATTGCATGCTATTAAAAAAAAGGGGGGGGGGAGGGAGGGGAATAGGGATAACAATCTTGCATCATGACTTACCACCAGGATTCCTGCAAAGGCTCTCAAGTTTTTTACCAGATCCAACAGTGTAGTCACAACCAAAGCCATGAACTAAAACAAAGCAGAATTTTGTATATATTACATTCAAACTTCCAAGTCTTACCAAGTTACCTTTACTAAAAGGACATAAATACTGACTACGAAAACGATATACATCCAAACATGATCACCTTTCATACAGTGATATCCTTGAGGTGTGTAAAATTAATGAACTATACTGCACTCATTTCCATACATGCACATTATGATGTATTTTAGGTACACACAAAGGTAGTGTAACCTAAAGGGATATTTGCACAGTGAAGCCACAACAGCAAATCAAACCAAATGCCCCACAGCTGACCCACGTGACACTTTCTAGTTGACACTTTCCACTGACATTATGACCCCTAATTACATCAGCTGGATAACTATACTTTATTAAACTAAGACATAAGTCCTGCACTTGATATGAATCTGGGCTTATGTTTCAAGCAAGTATAAGCGCAGGATTGCAACAACAACAACAAAAAAAAAAAAAAAAGACTCCTCAAGTGATTTCCAATTCAAATATGGGTATTCTGGAACCAGATGCAAGTTTTAACCTAAATAGCAAGTGGGAAAGTGGGTTCTTCCCAAATAACTCTTTGCATGACCCAAAGAACTGGCAATATCAAGCGAGAGGAAGCCTACCACTTCCTGAGTGCTATGTCTTCAAGGACACTCATCCATTTAAAAATGGAGCCCAAAACAAGGTTTACGAGTATTTCTCCATGTATTTTTCTACCCGCTTTAGAATATCAGCATCAATTGTAGCGAGAGCAGCAAAGCTTCCCTGCCATCTCAACAGAGAAAAACAGCTGAAGAGAGAGTGAGTTAATAAGGAGCTGTGTGACAGTCTGGACAGACAACTAGTGCCAAGACTGTTGAGTTATAATCCCACCCAGAGGCGAGAGAATTACAAGTTAATACATATTATTCTAAGAAGCGTTAATAAAATTTATTCTTCAACTAAAAAAGAAATCAGCAATGTGGAAGAGAAAAACAAACACCTTCATATTAGGAATAATCCGCAGGAACCTGAACACAATTAACATGTTCACCAGTCGAACCATATCCCACAGGGAAAGCAAACCCATCAACTCAGGTCTCCTAGGAAAGACAAAAGAGTACAACAAATTAGCAGAAGCAGCCCATGACAGAGAGCTACAGTTAAAAGTTTCTGGGCTGCAGGTAGCTGCAAATTTCCCATAACTTTTGGTTAACTTCTGTGACATTCAAGATTTTTTGAAAAATAAAGTTTTATTTCTGCATGTAAGTACTCTTCATAATCTATAACTGACTAGAATAGTATATCCAGTCTTGGGCCCCCCAGTAGAAGAATGGGATTGATAAACTGACACAAGGTCAGTAAAGGGCCAATAAGATGGTCAGAAGCTGGAACGCTTGCCCTACAAGCAGAGGCTGAGGAAGATGGACTTGTCCAGCGTGGAGAAGAAATGGCTTTGGAGGGACCTAGCAACAGCCTTGCAATACCTACCAAGAGGCCCTGAAGAAGATAGAGCTAGGCTGTTCACAGTGGGGCATGCAGGAGGGCAAGGGGCAATGGGCTTAAGCTGAAATAAGGATGTAAGGAAGAACTTACACAGGATGTAAGGAAGAACTTTTTAAATCATAACAGTCTGACAGTGGCACAAGTTGCCCAAGGAGGTTGTGCAGTCTTCACCAGCAGAGGTTTTTTAAGACCCAACTTGAATAACCTGGTCTGATTCTCATAGCTGACCCTGCTTTGAGCAGGGGGGCTGAACTAGAGATCCCTTGAGGTCCCCTTCAAACCTGAATTATCCCATGTACAATCTATAATCTGTATAAGTCAATTTACTCAACAGGAATTTCAGCTACAGTAAACACTAATGGCTGATGACAGAAGAGATCCATTTAGCTTGAGATCTTAAATAAGCATATAATGCTCTTCAAAATGTATGTTTCTACTAAAATGTCTGGGTAGCTGACCTTCTTTCTTACAGCGGAGTTCCAAAGAGAGTCCCTTCAGAAAACAAAGCTAACAAGATTACTGCTATAGAGAGATACTTCAGGAACTTGCTAGCTATACAAAGAACATGCATTAATCCTTCAGGGTGTGTTTGGCTGAAGCTGAGCTACAAAGAAAGCACTAGGCTGACAAACTGGCTTGCCAGCCCCCTTCCTTATATGGTTATTCCATTAGCGATATGCATACACTTTAAATCTCAGCCTGAGTTTCGGCCGATTTTTGCATTGGCATGCTGGGTGCTTTTGTTGCTGGTGGTGGGGAGGAAAGATGACAATGAAAAACTCCTTGGTAACACGGAGGGATATTTCTCAATCATGATTTGCACCACAAAGATACTCAACTCAAATCATAAAATAAATCGTTTAAGAAAACACTGCATAGAAAGCATATTCTAGGACAATACCAACACCTTAGTGCTGTCTTGAAGATATTACATCTATAGACCAAATAATTACCTATCAGCACACACTGTAAGCAGCATCAGGACTCAGGATGACTCATCCAGATTGTAACCTGTTTGCAGTGACTAACACAATAAGGATCCAAGTAGTCCTACTGGTGCTTCTAAATACTTCTAGATAGTGCAAACAACATTCTGCGCTCATTAACCACAGGGCAAGATCAAACTCAAATACAGTCAATTATAAATCAGATAGGGAGTCAATGCCATTAGACTGTAAATGACTAACATCTTTACGGCAAAAGGCTCATTCAGTATCATTTCTGAGTGATAAGAAATTCAAGTGTTCAAAACTAAACTGATTCCTAGCTATAAGAGCTACCTGGTCTCTTTAAAAATACTACCATAAATTAAGACCACCTCTCTCTTACAACATAACAAAATTACACAGAGAGTCAATGTTAAAGTAATAGCGAACTTGTGCGAAGACACAAAGTATCAGAATGTGTTATAAATCACCTCCAAAAGTAAGATTTAAGGAAGCCTTCCAAAAGCACACTGATTCCCTCTTCTGTTGTGGCTGCAGTTTTCAAGTTTTAAGAGGGGAAATAATGATTTTCACGCTTTTGATAATGAAAAATAGATACCTTTCAAAGTACTACTTATGAAAATGAAAAGACTATTGCATGCTATTCCAATATAAACAAACAGTAGAAAAATCCCCATGGATTTAAACTAAGTTCTACAGCATGAAACAAAACTTAGACTTCAATCTACAGTGTTGAGGCAGCTTAGCTGGTTGCTTCGGAGTCCATATAATTGGACTTAAAGAGAGTTTGATATTGAAATATATTAGGTTAGTAGCTGCTTGCGTATGTTATGTCAAATTCCCCCTCTTGTACCTTTTGAGAAGTGTGGGTTTGCCGAGATATTATTCTAAAAGAACAGATGACAATTAATTAGATGTCTAGTAATACAAATGCATCCTTCTCTCAGAAGAGCTATATAGAACTTTAGGATTTATGAAAACATCAAATAATTTTCTTTTACTTCTCTGCAGCGCCTGGCCTCTAGTGACTACAAAGATGAGAGAACTTTTCCTAGGTTTGGTAAGTTATGGATCATGCTGAGAATCCTAACCTAATGACATAAATGTGTGTACACAGCACATGTACACGTATACGAACTGTGTGTGTAAGTAAGTGTGACATATATTGCCCTACTCCACCCCCAGCACCCAGGAAAAATACATTTCATGGAAAACACATACCAGCCAGGATGAGGAAATCCGTATGCAGCAAAAGTTGCTATCTCCAAAACCTTTGGGTAGGCAAAAAAGTTTAAACAGTGTTTTGTAATTTATAATTTCAAAAACTATTCAAATTTATTGAGAAGAAACAGTCTCAAGAGCTTCAAGTCACTAATTCTGACTCACTTCAAAACTTTGAAATTGCCATAATTGACAATAAATTTCCCAAATTAATCCAGTGTACACACCCACCTCAGTGTTAACATATAAAGATGTACAATCAATTACACTACATTTCAATTTGGCCTCACTTGCCATATGAGTTTGACTTCTGCCAAACAGTAGTAATACATTTACCAAATAATAATTTATCTTCTGCTTTTTATCCAAAAACCCAAACAATCTTTAACTACGTAAGAGGCTTCCTTATGTGATGATTCTTCTTTCAAACCAGAACTTCTCCAAATGACATTAAAACGCTGCCTACAAGAAAGCTCACTTCTCCAATTTCAAAAACCCTACCTCCAAAGAGGCAACATTAAGATTACCATTCATCACCATTATTACCAAATTGATCAAGCCACTGAAAATGAGAACATTAGCTAAAGTAGTTTAATTCAGCACGTTGAAAAGCGTCAAGTACAAAAAGCAATTCTACTAGCTCTTCCAACTCATAATCAGCCTGGATACCAAATCCAGGAATACAGTAGAATTTATTAAAAAAAAAAAAAAAAAAACACCACTTACCAGCAGAATTCCAGTCAGAAGTCCATCAAATCGATTGCTTGGGTAAGATAAGTATCTTTTTAACCCCATTGCCAAGATTTTCAGCAACATTTCCAGTAGATAGTAGAGGATGAAGAAGCAGTTGATAGCCTTTACATTAAAAATAAACAAACAAAATTAGGACTAAACACCATAGGGAACAGCAATAACCATAGAAATATGGATGCACCTTACCCCCAGGAAGAAGTCATCTCTTTCAGAAGGCTGTTTATCTGCATCCATCACCAAAACCACCTAAAACAACAAGAAATCTTTGATGAACCCAGTGTTTTACTGCTGCACAAAACAGATTTTTAAGCACAAGAACAAGACAATCTGTTATACTTGCACTATTATACTATTACATTTGCACAGACCTTTTTAAGTAGCTCAGAATATATTCCTTTACTGTAGATATTCTCTTATGATTTTGCATGATTAAAGTATGTGAAACTTGAACATCTGTAGCAAAAAGTGGTTTTCAGAAGAGAGACTAAAGAACAAAAACAGAACTGAAATTCGCAGAGGCAGGGAAATAGATACATTTCCTTTACTTACACAGATAGAAACAATGTTTGCAAGGGCTACAACATTCCCCAAGTAGCCAAAATAAGGATGGCCAAAGGCAAACTGCATTTTCCGCATAAAACGTGACTGGTACTCCGGACTAGCAGGATGCTGAAAAGAGGAGCACAAAAGGTTTGCTGAGATATTAAGAATAAGCACTTTAATAATGATGCAGGAAAAAACACACAATTTCAGAGTAAAGAAACAGACCTGTTCAAAACAAAACTTCAAGGCTACACACCAAGTTTGACAAAATAGGTAGGTGCTCTCCAGTTTCGGCTATCACTAGCAAGAGATCATTTTTGAATAGCAAATAGGTTGGTGATTATAGCAAAAGACAAGATAATAACCAAGAACTGAAGTAACTCGACTTTCCCCATGCCCCAAGCACATAAACTAACCACCAGGCTACCAGTTTTACACATCTCTTCCCCCTTTCCCCATATTCATCTTCCTTAAGAAATTCAAGTGTCTTAGTTCCATCCCTATGCAGTAAAAAACGTTTCTAAACCCTTGAAAACTTTTTTTCAAGTTGAGAAGACCATTTCCTGTGCACCTTCAAGTGAGCAATGAAGGCTCCGCGTTTACGAGGGGAAATGCATGGCCTGTATTTAACACAGGACTGTCACGGCAAGACAGCAAATGTGTCACAATTCACTGGAAAACAATTTCCTACTTCTCGTTCTTAGTCCACAACACTTTCCAGAAACTGCATATTGCATGTCTAACTCCTCTTTCTCACTTTCTTGTAAATAACCTTCCTCTTAAAACAAAAAAGCCAAAAACGCACATCCGCATACCTCACCTATTTTGCCTGGCCAAGTCATTCAAAAATGCTGAGAGAAAGAACAATTATGCATTTTGTACAGCCAGCGTTACCTGGCATTTCCACACTCACTCAGTAAAAGCCCCAAAGGCAATGCCATTTTTTACTCTATAAGCAATTTATGAACAGTTTAAAAAATCAATGACAAATGATCACACCTTGCGTTCAAAAATTTGTGAAATCTGCTTAATTTCATGCCTTTACAGCATAATACTGTAACTCGTTTTTGTTGAAAAGTCATTCACTTACAGCACTTCATAAATAAATGTCAGATACATACTTGTTTAATAGCATCTTTGTCTAGTTCTTCAAAGAGCTTCTGAAACTGGGCAGCTGACAGCTGGTCACAGGAGCATGTTTTGAGTGACTTCACATGAAAAAAGATTTAGATCAACATCTATATTAGATATATTTATAGGTAGTGCCAACGCTCTCAGATTATCTTAAAAAAAAAAAATCTAGGAATGGGGATGTAATACAATCTACTCCAAGAGGTATTAGAGTAAGCTTCAGGAGCTTTGCTTCATCAGTAACCTGCCACATGACTGTAGGGTTTGTCTCTCCGTTTCAATTTTCCCTCTCTTGGATCACTTGCTGTTTAAGAAGGAGCCTACCGCTATTACACACTTTAATTTTAGTCTCATCTAGTATTGCCATTCGCATGTCATGACCCAAGAAATGAAGATACTATGTTAGTTATCACTGTTCTTGAGATATTATTGTCTGAAAGGATTAAACTATTTTAGTGACTGTAATATGAAGGTGATACTTTCATAGCATACTACTAGAGACCAGCTATGCTAAACACTAACTGCAAGTACAGTACAGGTACTGGGTTTAAGTATCTAAACAATAATCCAAAGGACAGCTTGGCATAACTACAGAGCAGAGCATTGAGAGCCACAAGTTCAGTTGGTCTAGTTACAGACACTGCATTTTTAAACAGCTTCTCTCTTTTCATGGTAAAAATCAGCTTGAAAAGCTGTTTAGAACACAGACCCAATTCCATGAGTTTAATGACAAAATTGATAAAACAAAACAGATTCTTGCTACCGAGGAACCTCTTTTTGTACCTACCACCTGACTCAAAAATCATCTCTGACAGTAGTAAACAAAAGCGTTTAACAAACGCCAACAGCCACCATCTCACAATCCTCCCCTCTAAAGGGGAAGACTGTCCATTAGTTTTTAAGCAGAAGTTGTTTGGAGTTCAAAGCCATTTGGATAGTGGACTAGAGACAGCTTGTTTCAAAGGCCAAAACAGAGACACTGATCTGGGCCTCTGTTCACACTCTTAAACGAAGCAGCATGAGGAAAGCTACAATGTTTAGATCTATGCTGTGATTAAGGACATTTGTCTCCACAGCTGTTGCATCAGCAGGTTTGAGAGACACCAACATAAACATTAAGAAAATCCAATTCTTACTCTCATGATGGCTTGCTTGCAGCGAGAATCCATTTCCACCTTCTGGAGCACATGAAATAAGTCCCCAACACTGACATACAACCTATTTAAAAGAAAAGGTGATCGGCTTAGATACTCTGAAGCAGAGTAGCGACTGTCTTGATGACAAAAAATGGCTGTTCCCAATGCAAATTCCATCTTTTCTCCTCCCCTTTCCTCTCCCAAAAAGCAGATAAAATTAGAAGTAGAAATAAACAGGAAACAGACCCCATAAAAATCCCAAATATAACTTTAAAAGCATGTTATAAGTATCTTGAAGGAAGAAAAAAAAGGTACTCAACAACCTGTCATTTCCCCATATAGGTATCCTTGGCAAATACACTAAACAAGAGGGCCAAAAGCTACTATTTTATCCTTGATTAGCTACTGCTGTAACATCCTTCACTTACTCTTGTGCATTAGCAGGAGTCTCTTTTAGGGGAGAAAGCACTTCAAAGGCAGCCCGGATTCCTAGTCGTCTCCTGAAGAGGGAGGACTGAACCGATTTCTGCACAGTAGAAACACCACAAAAGGAAAGAACTTACTTATGCCAGCTTAAAAGAAATCCAACTACATGAGATGAATGAAAATACCTCTAACATATTTGCCAGCCCTCAGATAAAACCTACTGCAAGCCTCAGAATGGGTCTCATCTGTACAATTAAAATTAATTTGTCAGAAAGGTAAGACATTGCTTTCTTTCTCCCTCTTCCAAAATCCCCATCATTAGGCACTACATTTACTTGTTCAGATACTGGGTCCAATTCGACAGGCGCTCTGCCTTTTAAAAGGAATACCACTAAATATCAAAGGCTGAAATCAGTGAAGCCCATTCCTACCAGGACGACTTGGGTAAGAACAGGGCTTCCCCTCTCCTCCTGCAGAATTAGGACCTCTGGTCAGCTGATACACTGATCCTCTGGCATCCCTTCAAACTTGTGATTAGAGATCAGAGAAAGAGAGTCACTAGCACTCGCTCCTTCCAAGAACGCTAAATAAAGAGAAAGAAGGAAGAGAGCAAGCAAGCAGGCAAGGGAGTTCAAGTAAACACCCACGCCATGGTTTATTTTTAATTTTGGCCTGCACAGGCCTATTTTAGACACAACGATATCAACAAAGCTTAAATAGTCAGAAACAAATGCACACTACTATGAACAGAGAAGAGTTAAACTGTTTGCGATCCTAATAAAATATGAAAGTCAGATCCACCAAGTTTTTTGTGCTTACATTTTTCATAGCAATCCCTTTCAATATGCCTCTCAGCTACCTTACTGGAAGTCAGATTGTGGCATGATCTCACATGGGGAAGAGGAAAATGGAGGAGGAAGGCAAGGAACAGGTAGAGCAGGAGGGAAGCAAAACAAAAATTCTTCTTTGAATATTTAAATACTCTCTCTCACAAGAGGGTGGAGACTGTTCCTCCCATGCAACACTATCTAAGGCTTTACCATCCAACAGACCTTACCCTTTTCTCTGGAACTCTACTGGAGCAGCTTCCCCTCCACTTTCCCCCAAGCCCTGGTCACCACTTCTCTTCACATGTTCACTGCTCTGAAGAGCTGAAGGAATTCTATAGGACCATGTGTAAATGGCACACAGGACAACCACACCTAAAGTTCCTCAAAAATGTAACCAAAGGAAAGAAGGAACATAAGAAAAGAACAGGTAGAATGAACTCAGTAGGGTACTGCTGTTCACTCTAGGCTACAGATACCATCACCATATTGGCACAAAGTGAAGAAAGCAAAGGCTGCAGCACAGAGGTTTAGCTGTCTGACACAAGGCCTGATTTTGCGTAGGACAGTCAATCCTTGACTCAGCTTTATGAAAAAAAATTGCTGTTGAGCTGTGAAACTAGATAAATTATGCAGGAGAAAATTGAAGAAAATAAACCAGTGGAAGCAAAACTGTTGAAAATTTGTACTACCTCAAAGTCTCAAGGGAAAAATTCCACCTCAGAGAAGTTATAAAACCCAACTAAAAAAAGAAAAAGTTAGAAGATGACACCTCAGCAAGATCACAGCTCAGCCTGTTCTGAGGAGCAAGAGCTTAACAGTTCTCCCTCTGACTGATGACTGCCTGACCAGCATTCAGCTGTGTGCCATCACCGTGACAAGCATTTTAATATCTAACACTACCATTAATTCTCCTAATCGGTGTGTTTTATCCACTAAACTGTGATGCACTTGCAGGTTTTCTATTCACTGCCAGTGATAAACCCAGCTCTGGAGATCTCCAGCTGCCCCATGCAGCCTCCTAATCCTCCATCTAGTCAGTTACTTCATTTTGGTATAGGAGGGGAAATTCACAAACGTTATCCTCTTGGAGAACCTTTTTAATTGAAAGTAACCGAGAAGATCTTTCATTGACTTATGTCGTCCATGCTTCCTAAAATACTCTTGCCTCAGTTGACAACAAGTCCTCTCAGATTGCTCAACTGCACTCTCTCATCCGGAAAACAAAAGCACTTACACCCTTTCCTGCCAAGGAAATCCAGATTACATTTTTTACATTGTGAAGACTAAACAACTGGTGTATGTAATGCAACAAAGCCTACAATACATTTTGTCAACAAAGGAGTAGGAAATCTTTTACTAATGAGTTCAAGACCAAGAAACCAACTGCCACCACAGATTTCGCTCTCATTTGCAAAATTTGCAAAGTACACTTACTTTCTCAGCCTTCACTTCTCCGATATAAATAGATAGGGTCAAAAAAACCCAAAACAAAACAAAAAACCAAAAAACGCACTACACTCCTGCAATTGAATTTCCTTCCACAAGAAGGAAAGGATCACACATGATCAGACATCTTCCAGAAGCGTTATACCAATGACTAGCATCACATGGAGAGTAAGCAGTTTCCTTTTATTTGACAATGAATACTAACAAAAATAATTACTACATCAGATAGCAATTCATCTTTATATCACAGCACAACAAGAAAGGAAGAAAGATTAAGCAACAAAACAGATTAGTAGTTCCTTATCACCTGCTGCCTAAGCACTTCCAGAGAGTTCAAGTCTTGCAGCAATTAAGTGGCTTCAAACTAATTACAAATTACATCAAGTACCCCATAGAGATCAAGGTTTGCATAGGCATACAAGGAACAGACTATCATTGCACTAGGTTTCCTCTGAAATCCTATTCAAAAGGCCAGGTACCCACATGCAGATAGCTTATAGGCAATCGCTTCTGGTAGAGTCAAGACCAAGACTCAGATCTAGCTTCTAGACAGGCGCACTGCCCTAATCACTCTGCCTGCCACCACAGTAATCACAAAGCAAAGTGACTAAACATGGAAAAGACGTTTCAGTCACCAATTCCTTTTTATTGAAGTCTTCTCATACTGTGCTGCCCAGAGAATTTTAAGTGCTGCAATTTGGAACAACAGCTATTAAAATAGCACATCACATATGAGACCCTACATAGAGACTAAGCTTAAATTACTGGTAGTCTTCGTTCACACACAGTTTTTAGTAAGAGTCCAATTATTTTTACTATAATGGTCAAAGTTGTAAATCCTCAGCATAGACACAAGGGTACAAGCAGGAAATTTTCTTATGGAAAGGGGATAAGCTACATTAGCATACAGAGGAAGAAATCTACACCAGTCTAAAGAACCTTTAGTCTCTTAAAACCATATCTTCAACAGGAACGGACACACTGCTATTACATAGTTTAAGCTTAAAAATAACTTCGCAGTTTAAAGGTTATGGCAGAATGCACAAATTGGGAATATTTTACTCACCAGAAGGTATCCTCGAAACTGGTTATATATTATTGCTGTCAGTAAGTTCATCAGGAATAAGTTGCCTTTTGGAAAAAAAAAATAAAAATAAAGGTAGTGAAAAATACCGAAATACATTTTTGTTTCTCAAAGGCATATCATATTTCTCTTATTTTAGGCCACTGACTCTTCAAATCTAAACGTTTCCACCTTCTGGAAAATACAAAATCTGGATCCTAACTTCTCTCTCCCAAAACAAGAAGATATTAGAAAGGTTTCAGAGTTACCACAAAAAAGTCACACTTCTATGATAAATCAAGCATATCCCCCAAACAATGAACTAAGCTACAAAAACAATCATCGTTTTTTTCCAAAGATGGTTGCGTTGAACACAGAAATTAAGATTTCTCAATTTAACAAAACTTTCCATCCTAAGAGCTGAAAAGAAGTTTTAGTGCATAAGTTAATTGGATCTAAAAATTCAAAATAATTAGGTTTTCAAGTTTGATTTCCAAAAATTATGTTTGAATATACTGCTGTGTATCCATTGCCCTGGAATGATTTTTTACTGAAGCAAAAACAAACCCCACTATTAACAAGCACCTTCCATAAAAATTACTTTGCAAGACACTGAGGGCTAACTGGAAGAAACAAGAAAGGAGAACTTTGTGATGAAGTGTTTCTAGAAAAAGAAAACATTCTTTAGTTCATATGCCTGAGTATCATAAAGTTACAGTGCATTTATAAGACAAGAGGTAACTTACCTAATACAGTGAAGAGTATAAAGAAGACTGAATAGGCTCGATTCTTAGAATATGCAGGAATCATCACTGTATCAAATTCAAAAAAAAAAGGGAAAATTAAGAATTGTTGTGCTTAAGGGGAAAAAACATGAGACCTCTCTCCATCTTTGGAAATTGGTAAAAACTCTTATACAGCTCCACTTCAGAGCTGGATATATAAATTATACTAAAGGAAAGACAAAAATCTTAAAAGTTACTTAAGGGCATGAAATATCTTTGCAGAACCTTCCACTAGCAATGAGAGGAACTATCAGCTGAAAGAATGGTTATAGTAGTCTGGAGATATCTTACTCAACTATTCACAGAAAATAGAGACAAGAGTTATTTCTGAAACATGTTGCTCACCATCAGGATTATTTGCAGTAGTTAGCAGCACCAGCAGTGAAGTCAGTGAATCTGGCAAATTCCGAAAATACCCCACCCATTCCTTATCCTGCTGGCCATCCTAGTCAAAGAGACGGTCATCTTTATCAGAACAACACTGAAGAATCACTAAGACTCTGTCTTACCAAGGAAATCAGTTAAAAATGAGTCTCTTAAATACAGTCAGATCTAATACACACAAGAAGCACGAGACAAGCACAAAAACTTGGACAACGAGTAGGAATGAAGTGCAATCACCTCACTTAATAGCAATCACTAAAACATGAGGAAGAACAGCAAGCTAAGACAGACATAGGAGGTTCAAAACAGAAATGAAGCCTAGCTCTGCCTCAGACCCACGGAGGACAGTAAGGTCACAAACAGGCAGTACAGGAACTAAAAGCCACCCCTCATGAATAGAGGGAGCATCATCGCTTAGCCTGCAGGAAATACTGGGGTATTGGAATAACAGGATTCCCTAACCATGATAAAAATCACAAGCATAAGAGACCTTAAACATAGACTAATACCATCTTTAGTCTCAATTTACATTATAAAGCTCCATGCTTTTTATTCCAGCTATACTACACCACACTCCAGTGTGGAAGGAATAATACAACTCTAAATTGTGCTGGTCTCCAGGATTTGTCCAAAGCTATAACATAATTTGAGGATAAAATTAAGTAGATCTTGTCTATACCCAAGAACAGAAACAAAACAGGGATGGGGACAACTGGGTGACTCCTCAGCAACAAACAACTGCCTTAGTTACTACTGTGTTGCAAAAGATTCTTGAGTACAGCTCAAGAGCTGTCCTCAGACACCTAGAGCTTTACTAGCACACTCACTGCGTGGGTCATGACTCCTTCACTTCCCCTTTGAGCCCTGAACAGAAAACCTCTGACACCCTCTGAATTAGTTATTTACAGAAAAGCTACTCACATTGCTTGGAACAGACATTTTCCCCATCTTCTGGTCACTTATGTATGGACTGGGGGCTTTGTTTTGAATTACAGTAAACTCAAGATTTGCACAGAGCAAAGCCAGACAAATTTGAGGTCTCTTCAGTAAAGTGGGTAAAGATGTACTTGAAATACAAGTGGAAGAATGGCCCACACCTTACTGCACCTTAGTTTAGATCTCATAGTACAAAGCAACATGCTATGACTATCATTAGTACGCTTGACCAGATTTAGTGAGCAGATGGAAAACATGCATCTTTTCTATTTTGAAAAAATGCATGAAAAGAATGAAGATTCAAAATGCCACGTACAGTATCAACTGAAACATCACATACAGTTTAAGCATCTTGTAAAAAGAAAAAACAGAAAAGTTCTACAGCATACAAAAAATACTTTCAAGTACTTTGGTAACTACAATCACTGAAATTATTTTGTGCCTCAGTACAAACATCAGCCAATCAGCTAAAACTCTGATAGCATCAAAATTTTCAACAAAAACACACTGGGAAACAGATCTTGTATCAGCAGTTTCCCCCCCTCCCCCCCCCAAATTCAACTATAGACAGTTAAAAATGCAGACTGCAATTACAAACATGAATCATACAGTAAGTACAGAATAAACAGCCCTTGAATCTGCTTAGAAAACTGAAAAAAACGAAGCTTTAGAGGACATACATAAGACTGCAAAATCTACAGGCATGAATTTTATTGTAAAACATATTTTTAAAACATGCTTTGAATAGTTTGCCTTGTTAAATACCACACAGCTGGTTCATATGGCTATTAGGCTAGAGAACCAAAGAAAGCAAAGATAGAGTTATCTCCAATTAGTTAGTTTTCACCTAAGTCTATATAATATTCATACAGTTCAGATATACACTATATTCCCATCTGCTGAGCAAGTTTATAATTGAAATCAGACATGACATACAATGATAACTCAAAAACACAGCATGCAAGTAAATAAAGGGAAAACATGAGGAAGGTAAAGATCTCTACGTATAACTCCAGCAATTCTGTAACACAAGAATTTGAGGAATTTGCTGATCATAAGAAAAACTAGAGGCCGTCTAAGTGCAAATTGCATCAGAATGAAGATGCAAAACTGAGATTAAGGAGAAAAATAATATTACTGGGAGAGGAGTGCAACAAAATCTGAGTGATCATAGGAACACGTTTATAGAGGGCCTTAAAAATAAGGACAAGAAGCTTGAGTTTGATACAGCAAGATATAGGTAATTCGCAAAATATTACAGAAAAGGGGATACACCAGAACACAGGAACACACAAGTCATTTTAACCACAAAATTTCAAATCTGCTTTTTGGGAAATGGGAAGAGAAGAAACAGGGCAAGAAAAAGAAATTAGAAGCCAAAAGATCAGAGCAACGCAGGTGAAAAGTTAGCAAAGCACGGCCAAGGAAACAAGCACTGGGAGACTACAGGTTATGAAAACATAGGATAAACTACATTTAGCAAGAAACTAGATAAGGAACGGGGAAAAGAAATGAGTGACATATAAACAAAAAAGTGACAACACTAAAAGTTTTGGACAGAGAACAGCATGGGAGGTTTCACAGAAGCAAAGAAAGTAACTAGAAGCTTCTTCTCTATGGTAGCCTCTGCCACAAGCAGATTTCAAATTTCATAAATGTAAGAATGACATCAATAGCAACAATACATGGGACCACCAGCATAAATAAGGATGTTGACAGGACTTTAGCACTGAGCCATCTACGCTTGCTCTAAGCAGCGGAGCTAGACCAATTATAAAACAATGTGGCACAGCTTACAGCAAGAGTGAA